CTATTTGAATTAATGATGGGGGCATTCCAAATGTACAGCATCTGTAAAGCTAATTATATCAATAAATAATTGTGCTTTACATGTGCTTGTACAGCCCAGTCTTAATAAATTTGGCCTTACATCTATTCAGTCAAGTCAGTATGCTATCTCTAGGCAGTGCTAAAAACCTAAAAAAAGTGCCACCTCCCCCCCAGCAGATTAAGGATTTAGTGCTTATTTCCCTGTGGAATGATTTAACACAGAGCAATGCCTACCTTCATCCATCACATGGTTTTCCATCACACTGACTGATCGTGACAACTGGCCCCCTAAAACCGCCATTCTTGCCGGTCTCTCTCCATCTCTTTCACTGACATGTACAATGGAGGACCAGTGACAACGTCCGAACTTAATGATTTGGCCACTGGTCTTGCCTTGTATGTTATTAATATTATTACACAGGATTTATATAGCAACAAAAGTTTCTGCAGCGCCTTACAATATAAGGAAGACATTACAATTACAATACAATTTAAGATAAGATAGTAAGGAGGGCCCTTCCCATGAGGGCTTACAATCTAAAAGGGAGGGGCAAGTGATACATGAGGAAGTAGCTCTGGGGGAATGAATTGTTTGAGAACGTGATAGCTGATTGCTCCAGTGTTTGTCCTGCACAGAGGACTGGTACATATCACTGATATGTACTGATCCTCTGCCGCTCGGCCACGCACACGGGGGCTCTCCCATGGATCCCCCCTGCTCTCCCGGGCAGAGGCAGCAGGGGATACGACAGGAAGCACTTCAGCCAAGGGGGGGAGCCACTGTCACAGAACTAAGGTCGAGCTGTGAGGGGAGAGAGAGGTCGCCGGCTGTCAGATCCAGACCGAGCGTTATATACAAATATATACATATATTTGAATTAATGATGGGGGCATTCCAAATGTACAGCATCTGTAAAGCTAATTATATCAATAAATAATTGTGCTTTACATGTGCTTGTACAGCCCAGTCTTAATAAATTTGGCCTTACATCTATTCAGTCAAGTCAGTATGCTATCTCTAGGCAGTGCTAAAAACCTAAAAAAAGTGCCACCTCCCCCCCAGCAGATTAAGGATTTAGTGCTTATTTCCCTGTGGAATGATTTAACACAGAGCAATGCCTACCTTCATCCATCACATGGTTTTCCATCACACTGACTGATCGTGACAACTGGCCCCCTAAAACCGCCATTCTTGCCGGTCTCTCTCCATCTCTTTCACTGACATGTACAATGGAGGACCAGTGACAACGTCCGAACTTAATGATTTGGCCACTGGTCTTGCCTTGTATGTTATTAATATTATTACACAGGATTTATATAGCAACAAAAGTTTCTGCAGCGCCTTACAATATAAGGAAGACATTACAATTACAATACAATTTAAGATAAGATAGTAAGGAGGGCCCTTCCCATGAGGGCTTACAATCTAAAAGGGAGGGGCAAGTGATACATGAGGAAGTAGCTCTGGGGGAATGAATTGTTTGAGAACGTGATAGCTGATTGCTCCAGTGTTTGTCCTGCACAGAGGACTGGTACATATCACTGATATGTACTGATCCTCTGCCGCTCGGCCACGCACACGGGGGCTCTCCCATGGATCCCCCCTGCTCTCCCGGGCAGAGGCAGCAGGGGATACGACAGGAAGCACTTCAGCCAAGGGGGGGAGCCACTGTCACAGAACTAAGGTCGAGCTGTGAGGGGAGAGAGAGGTCGCCGGCTGTCAGATCCAGACCGAGCGTCTCTGTCTCTCTCCTCACCGCTCGGCATTAGTTCTGTGGCAGCGGCTCCGTCCTGCGCCCTCCCCCGCCGCCGGTTCCTTCACTTCTTCTCGGATCCCCGCTGCATACAGATGGGGAGAGCAGCGGGGATCCAGAGAAGCCCCACCAGGGGGAGGAGAGGACATCGTGATCTACCAGTGATCGCTACGCGATCACTGGTAGATCGCGATCAACCTTATGGGCACCCCTGACCTAGGGGATCAATTTCCCATTTTAAATTACATCCAAAGTTCCACTTCAAATATTGTAACTAGGGATGCACCGATATATCGGGCGAAAATGGCACTTTTGGCTAAATGCTGAAAGTGCAATTTTCCTGCCGATACATCGGCTCATCCTAGGTTTCTTTCCTCCCCGCTGGGCGCTGCTCTGTGTCCCAGTGGGGAGGAGAGAAAGTGACAGCTGGCCGAGCGCTGCGGGAGGAGAGCGCTTTGAGCGGCCGGTGTCTCTCCTCCCACACCGCTTAGCCGCCTATCACAGCCCGGCAGAGCGGTGTGGTGGCGGAGACAGCACGCGCTGTCACCGGAGGCTGAGCTCTCCTCCCTGCTCCGCTCGCTCAGCCTCCTGTGACAGTGTGTCAGAGGAGAGCAAGAGCAAACACTCAGTGATCGCTGAGTGTTTGTACATAATTGGGGACATAGTATGTGTACTATATCATCACGCGACCAGGTTTGAGATATGGCCGGGGGCAGAGTTATGGATGGCTTTGTAACTGATTGTTAATATTTTGAATTTTATCCTTTGGGCTATAGGAAGCCAGTGCAGGGATTGGCAGAGGGGGGTTGCAGACACTGAGCGGTTGGTTAGGTGGATGAGTCTAGCAGCTGCATTCATGATAGACTGAAGGGGGGATAGCCTGTGTAGTGGAGTATTGCATTATTTAACATAGTTACCTAAATTGTCAGGAAACGTGATATCCTATGACAAAATGGAGGTTATTTTCAGATTCAGCGCACCAAAAAACATAAAGATTACGTGGAATAACCAAAACAGCTCTCGAAATTTTTTTTTTGCAGACCTGTGTTATGAATGAATAGGAAGTGAGCTAAATCACTTCCTGTCTATTCATGATTGTGATTATAGTAAACACACTATGCTCTCAAGTTATCAATGAACAGGAGCGCTCTGTATAGAAAATTCCTGTTCATTGATAACAGGGGATACAGAAAAGAGACTGAGGACTGTTCTCAATCTCTTTTTCTTTTTTAAAAGGGAAAAATAGAAAAAGACCCCTAATATTTCCCCAAAGCCACTAAAAGTAGAGTAAAAAATAAAAATATGAAACTAAGAAAGGAAAAAAACATGAATACTTAGATTATATTTCATATATATTTTATTTTAGGCATTCTTTATATTTGTGACTTAATTGTTGAGACCACAAAGGTATTAGTTTCTTTTATGTGTGCACAACAATATCTGAAGACAGTGATAATTACAACCATGAAAGTGTGTATGCACTTTAAAGATAGAAACTGGGGCAGCTCCTCCTGTATAAAGATGAACACGTTTCTTTTGACATTTATTACAGGTATTTATATAGTACTGTCAATTTATGCAGCGCTTTACATGCTATTCATTCTATCCCTTGGCCTGGATGGGAAGGGGGTTTAACACCGCGGATGTCAACTGGTTAAGAAGCTTATAACATAAAGTTCCTATCTCACATGCACTTATACTAGGACCAAGGACAGGAGACAATTAACCTATCAGCATAAATTTGGGATGTGGAAGGAAACCCACACAAGCTCATAGGTTCAAATTTAAGACCCCAGTGCTGCAAAGCAGAAGTGCTAACCATTGAGCCACTGCAAATTAACAGTTTGTTTTGCTTCCCAGCTTGTAATAAGAATTTAAAAAAGTAAGACGCTATTATTGCCACTAACCAGTAGAACACTGTTGGTCCCCTGCAATTCAGTCATGGCTGCGTGTAGATCCATCACACTAACGTGGGGAAACTCAGGCACTCCACTGTTGATAAGAAAACACTTGAATCCAGCAACACCAGCTTGTAACAGAGGTATCAGTTCCACCTGTTATAGAAAGTGATATTAGTATTAAGTACTTGCCAACATTTTCACAATAAATCATGGACCAAATCTAAATTCTTCCTCTAGTCATGTATAATTACTTCCCAACACAGCTGTTTATGGCCTCCTGTGTCATGTGTGCCAAGCCTATTGACTTTAGCTGGTTTAATACAGGGGGACTGTATGAATGCATAGAGCCAGACAATTTGTACCACTGAAACTCGCCATGCTTTGCTGGAAAACTGTGCAGCATAATCAATACCTTTTCACTTTTTTCTGCCTGATTTCTTTTGGCTGCAACTGTAACCTTGTCCTTTTAGCCACTGTTCATAGCTGATGAGTTGAGGATTTGGAATGAAGAGCGATAATAAAACATTTACCCTGAGCTTACGTTTCTTCTACAAGGTACATACTACCGTAATATAGCAAATCACTTGTAAGCAGGATCTTTATATATCCACACTCCTTAGAAGGCAATGATTTTCTATGCAACTAGAAGGATCAACTTAAGATTTAAAGGTGTTTATCCTTATTTCACTGCTTCAAATTCACTAGGAGACCAGTCAAGGGCAAGCTGGCTTTCACAGCTGGATGGAGCCAAAGGGACACCATTATCTGCAAATGCCCAAGAGCTAGGTAGCAGAATGACTGCATTGCGCAATGATATTCTGTTACATAGCCCACACTGTGCATGGAAAAAAAAAGTATATGAAGGTGACACATTTCAACCTCATAGAAACTACAAAAATGTAGCATTTTATGTTCCTGCAGCCATTGTCCAGAACTCAAGTCCACCTGAATCTGTCTGGCCTATGCTAAGTTCCTATAAGGATCGTCCGAACCTGTAAAATTCATCCTTCATGGTCCCCCATGGCTCTGATTACTGGCCCATCAGTCCTCAATATATAGTAGTACTCCAGCTAGTAGACTGATATTCTGCTTGCTGGTCCATGCATAGTCCTATCTCTCAGAGTAAGCATTAACACCAATGCTCTTCATTGAACTGGCTACTGACCACCAATGTAAGGGAGTATTTCTTCTCTTACTGACCACCAATATAAGGGTGCCCCTTTCCAATGACTGACCATTAATGTACTGTAAAGGGCCACTTACTCTGACTACAATGTAAGGAGTCAGTTACCCTAACCTCAGTGTAAGGGGACCCTTCTTCACTGACCACCAGTGGCCATTTATTCACTAAGCACCGGTGTAATGGAGCAATTTACACTTGTCACTAATGTAAAGGGGCATTTACTAAGGGGCTCTCCAGTTACTATTGGTGTGAAAGGGTTAAATATACAGGGGTACATCAGGCCACCACAAAGCACCAGTAAGAAATATGAATAAGGGTAAAATGGTAATGGGGCCCGTTATTAGGGGTACAAAATGTGAGCTTCCATTCACATTTTGAAATGGAGGGTCTCAGGTGGGGGGATTGGAGTCATCAAACTCTTGCTATAGGTCTCTGTAATTTGTAGTTACTCCCCTGTTTAACAGGAGTAGTCTAGAACTTTTGTAGACATTTAAAATTTATAAATGTAAGCAAATAAGACACATTTCTGTGTCCCTCTTGAACAGGGACAGTTAGGAAAAAGCCACATTTGAAGATAACCTTAACTTTATCAAAAATGTCACCACAATCAGCCGAGAATTTCTATATTCCAAACAATGTAAAAAAGATAAATTCAAAACATAAGAGTATGCTCACCTGATTATTGGGAATTACACCACCCCAAAATGCAACGTCCACATAGCATTGTCCCTTAGCGGCCTGGAGCTTGGTATGGAAATTGCTCACAGATGTGGTGGGTGGCAGGCTGTTTCTGTAAGGACACCAAGTTATTGGATTAATATTGTGCTCCAAACTTTGTGTGCACTTTCTCTAATTGCATCTGCACCAGTAGATCAGGTAGAGGAGATACATGTCTTTCTGTGCACTTGGCACCATGTTTGTAAATGACAACATTTCTAAAAAGTTGGGAGTCAGGCTAATGCCTGATACAGAAAATAGGCATGGCTTCTTAATTGTTTAGCAGAATTTGGATGATTCTGGATGGAGTTAGGCAGGATCAGATCTACACCTATCCCAAGTCAAATTTAGATATAGGCCAGCATCCATGTAAGGAAATTATTTTGAAGAAAAGTTGTATTAAAAAAAATACAAAGATTGCCTGTGTTTCTTAAAATACTTGATGACTGGCTGACAGTGGCTTCAGCCCATCCTTTTTCCAGGGCCATACCAGAGAAGTAATATTTACAGATGGGGAGGTCAGCAATAGCAGCCTCCATACTACCCATTAAAAGGTTTTCATTCATTTTAGCAGTAGAAAAGTAATTAGAAGTGATAATGTCACATAGGAAAGTCTCTCTTAAACAAGGCATTAAATATTGACACAGTCTTTGTCATAAGACATCTGTCGAGGGGCAAATGTCTCTCCATTCAATCTAAAGAGGTTCTAGATTTGAATACATTATAAACTAATAACAACTCCATCTAGCCCACATCTAGCCCACATAAATATTCATAATTCAGATGATGTCTGCAGTAATGATAAAACAATAAGACCTGAATAACTAATAAACAGTAAACACTTTGGCAGCCATATCTGTGTTTATCCCTGGGTTTAGAGGAGCAAACACTATTATAAAAAAAGGAAATGTGATGATGAGCGATGATTTAGGCGTTCCACCAGAAGAGGCATTCCAGTTTTGGGTTGATGGTAACATTTTGAATTAACCACCAAGTTCTGATATTAACTCCAACTCCAAGGGTGAGATCTATGCACCGAGATCCCAGATCCATCCTCTTGCTCCAGCCATGACAAGTTTTACTACAATCAAGACTTCTAATGCAGTTGGAGGAGACACCATGATGGTGGTTGGGTGAAGGAAGTGTCTGGTGACAGTAGTGACAGTGGGTGGTGATGATTGTTGACCAACTTCTTTTTCGCCATTGTGATATTAGGAGGAGGCCATTACTTCAAATAGTTTAATTCCTAATATTGTGTTATATGAGAGGGTCTTCTAAAAATTTGCTGCCTTGTACAGAATATAAAGATCACATGTTTCCTAATGACTTCCACTCTTAGGTGATGTAGATAACATCAGCTCACTGTAGACATTTTACAAGGTGATCATCAATCTGAAAACTCTCTGTCAGGAAACATTCCTGTATGACTTTACATTAAGCCCAATGTCACACAAGCATTTAACGTACCCATAAACATTAGATTGCAGTTCGGTGTGAAAGCATAATCTGAAAACCGATAGACATTCCCAGTGATAGATGTCTTCATGAATATATATACTGGCAGCCAAGCATGTATGTTTATGGAGTCTACCTATTTTAGGAAAAAAAAGATTCTCCAGGAAAACCTACACTGGATCATTGATTCAGAGAAGGGCAGACTACATGATGTCTAGAGGAAGGCTGGTGAATGCCCACACATCTACTGTCATTTCCTGATTTGACTGAAACTAAATGGTTTAAATAAGATTATATTATTCTTATGGGCTCCTTTAGGGCTCATGAAGATGGCCTTTTATAGATCATCTGAGCCCCACCTGCACTGAGCTATGCCCAGACTGTTCAGCCAAACACAAAGGGGGTTATATTGAGCCAAATGATACAGCCGCAGCTTTGGCTGATCATTCGTCTCTCTTCAGCAGAATCGAAGGGCTGCTGTATGGGCTATTCACAATAACCCGAACAACAGCCAAAGGCGGCTGAGCGGCTTAGCTGAGCCGAAGGCATATGCTTCGGTTCGACTGAGCCAAAGTGACAGCCAAAGCAGATGACAGCCCCCCGCAAATGACAGCTGGGCGGAGCCAGCCGTGATCTCACGGCTGGCACCGCCCAGTTGTAATCACTGAACAGCGTCCCCAAATTATTCTTTTTACCACAGAGGTACCGAGCAGAATAGCTGAGTTGAATGCCGCTCAGCAGCATTCGGCTATTCAGCGAGTAAGCTGCCGGAGCTTCGGCTCAGCTGATCCAGGTGTTGGTTCGGCTCAGCTGATCCAGCTAACCGAAGGAAGCCCATGTACAGCTGATTTCAGCCATACTGAGCCGGAGTGAATAACCGAATGTCGTTCGGCTTTGTTCACTTTGGCTCGGTTATTCACTCGGCTGCCTTCGGCAGCTTAGTAAATAGCCCCCAAAGTATATGAATAGGATATGCGCCTTTTGCACTGTGCACATGTGCAGTATACATGCAGGTACCTAAGCCACAGACATCAGATTGCATGCCTTATTCTCAATCCAGGCAAGACTCTGAGGGCCATTTACAGCAATGCATTGCGTTCAGGGCCGGATTTTCCACAAGGCCATCAAGGCACGGCCTCGGGGCAGCAGAGAGTAGAGGCGCAGAAGGGGTGTGGAATTCCTATCTTCCGACACCCGGGACATGCAGTTCAGGGCGCCGGGCGGGTAGTTTTTTTCTACATTTAGCCCTGCTTTGTGCAAGCAGGGCTAAATGTAGAGTGGGGCCGCCGCCGCTCATTTTGTACAAGTGATCTCGACGATGTCGCTGATATCACTTGTATGCAGCCTGTAGGTCTGTCCCTCCGCACCACCCACCGGCTACCTCTCTACCTGCTGGACGCCTCTCTCTGGAGATGGAGATCCTCTCCTCTGGATGGAGAGCGGGGAGCAGAGCGAAGAACGTCCGTTCTACGCTCTGCTCTATGTGAACACTGAGATAGGAATGCTGCACTCTCAGCCTTCCTATTTAGCTGTCACAGGAGAGCCAGCACAGGGCTGTTCTAGAACTCCTGTATTGGAGGTGACAGGTTCAATAAACAGAACATGTCACCTCCAAATGCTAACACACTGGGGCTTGTGGTTGGGTCACATTGCAAATCCCATTTGGGTCGCATTGCAGCCACTAAAATGTTCTACCTTCCTAAACGGCTCTATCTTTTTTGAGTGCTACCGGTTCATTATCTACATATTTTCTAATGCCAAATTCTTCTATATATTTGGCAGGTTGGTAGGCCACGGATCTCCAATTCGGTTTTATTCCAATCCCAGATGGCTGGTGGCTTGGGGTTTTCCCACATCACAAAATACTATCAGGCTGCTCAAATCTCCCAACTCACTAAAATGAACGCATCTACTGAAATCCCTTTATGGGTTGTACTGGAGGCTGTGGACTGCGACCCTCTCCGAATTCATAATCTCCTTTGGCTGCCTCCTAAAGATAGGCGATCCCTGATCAACCCTATTACCCTGCGCTCCCTCTGCGTATGGGATGGGGTGAAATTCTCTGGTGGTTTCATGTCCCCTCATTTGCCCCTCTTCTCATTCCTTCATAATTCCCCCTTTGCCCCAGGTATGGAGTCTCCCTCGGACTTTCGATATTGGGAGGCAGCTGGCATTACCAAAATCTATCATCTCATCATCCCCACCAGCTTTAAAACGTTTCCACAACTACGCTCCTCCTATCGCCTGCCGGCATCTGAAACCTTTCGTTACCTGCAGGTAAAACATTTTGTCACTTCCATGATTCACCTCCCTAGTGATTGTCCTCTGTTGACTCAATTTGAAACTAAATGCTGTGGCAATCCCCATTCGCCAGGCCCGACCTCCCTCTTATATGCTTCTCTCCTTTCAACTGGAGCTCTCTCTCAATATAACTACATGAGAAGTTGGGCATCTGACTTATGGGCAGCACTGGATGTAGCAACCTGGCACCAAATGTGGGCTACCACGAAATCATGCACTCGTAATTCCACTGCAGTTGAAACTAATTATAAGGTCCTGTTCCGATGGCACATGGTGCCCAGTTGCTTAGCTCATGCCCAACCGGGAAGCTTGCCTTACTGTTTTCGCGGCTGCTTGACACGGGGTGACTATTTTCACATTTGCTGGACTTGTCCAATTACCCGGAGCTTTTGGTCCCAAGTGAACGCTTATCCAGAGACGCATCGCCCTGACACCCAGTGAAGCTTTGCTGAACGTCAGGCCGAATGATCTTTCCAAATACCAATTTACGCTACTAACGCACGTGCTTACACCAGCGAAACAGGTAATAGCCAGCACCAGGCTTTCTGATAGTTCGTGTCTCTCAGCAGTCAAAAATAGGCTCCATTTGGTTATGGCTAACGAGAAGCTAACGGCTAAATTGCTTGGTAGTTTACCCAAATTCCGCAAAGTTTGAGACCCGTGAGTCTCTAATATTCTACCGCCTCATTTTGATAAATCCTTACTGGCAGTGGAAACCTAAATGCTAGATCTTCTCTTTGGGTAGTATGTTTCTAATTATCCATGATCCCCTCGGTCATCTATCTTCCACTCTCCCCCTACTCTCTCCGACGTACTCTCGAATTCCTCCAATCCTTCCTTCATTTTTTCCACTATTCTCTTTTCCTTTTCATTCATTACTTCTACCTATCCCTTGGTTCTATCCGGTCTATTTTGGCAGGTTTAACAAACAAACTTATGCAACCATAACCTGCAATTAATGGTTAACTCAGATGCATGTACTGTATATGCTATCTTGTACCGTTAATATACCTGTTGTTTATGACGATAATCTTACTGCTTTACAGGTTAATTGTAGCCTACTAAATGCTGAAGTTACTTTTGTTATATTCTTATAAACCAATAAAAACTTATTGAACAAAAACATTTTTTTGTTTAAATCTAAAAAAATTAATAAAAAGTAAAACCAACCTGGCAGCCCCCACCATCTGGTTGTCATTCTCCGTTAAGGAGGGGGACGCATTGAAGAACCTGCCGTTGGAGCAGCAGAGAGAGTAAATCCGTCCCTGATTGCAGTACCACATCTTACTGCAGTGCAATTTCATGCACCATGCAATGAGTTGCCATGCCATTAATTTTTTTTTTTACAATCCAATGCACTAAGGCAACACATAAGTGCTGCAGCATACAGCAGCACACGGTGATGCTCTAGAATGTTTGTGGTACACTGCACTGGTAAAAAATGGTGCATGACCGGTATTTGTCTGTTCTGGTGCATTGGCACCAGAACAGGTATGTGTGAAGCAGCCCTATTTATCCACCCTCCACACAGTGGGTTGAGTCATGTAAATTGTGCTGTGCACATCTTAACACAATAGAAGAAATACTACAGCATGACGATGATGGTGGTGGTCAGGCTCTGAGTTGGATAGGAGGGTTGTGTGGTGATTGCACTGGGCGTGCAAGCACCTTGCTGAACTAAATCCTCCAATACTCACCTCCACTCCAGCGATGCAATGTCAGCAAATTCTCTCACTGGCGCCGATATCTTCTCAGCTTCTTCCACGTTCTTGATTTCTACCCATCTTGATTGGCCAGGTTAGGATGATGTAACTCCCCTGCATATGCATAGGAGTTCATTCTTCTTTGCACAGAGAATGAGTTTCCCACGAATGTCAGCCAGGTGTGCCGAGAGAATGTACACTGAGCTGTGCATGGCCAGCTTAGTGTACTTTTGAAAGCATCTTGTGAGGAGGAAGGCAAGATAATACCACATTATAGCCTTATAGCCACTAGATGGAGCTGAGGTGCATAGGACCTATGCTCCTCAACTCCATCCATGACAATTGTCTGGTAACTGACAAATGGTGATTTGTCTCACATAGTAAAGATGTCCTCTCGCTTCATGTTGAGTTTACACATCAGAATGTGAAGGTAAATCTCCCTAATGAGACACAGATGTTTAAAATAATGAAAACTGTTTCAATCCTCTCCAGCTTCACCAAAAATGAAAACTGAAGTTTTGGCTTTAGATAAAGATTAACACACCTTAATAAAAATGATCTTTGTTATAGTGAACCAGCAATAAATGAAATGCTGTGCCTGCTACTGCTGACCTGTTACTAAGCTTATTGCCTGGCTGTTAGGCTAACCCATCAGACCTGGTCCTTTGAGTCAATGACCAGGAAAGTAAAACAAAATGCCTGCAATGATTTTTTAGCATATGTGTTTCAGGGCATAGGTTCAGCGTACTGAAGCCAGAGGATCAGCATGACACCCAGACAGCTAAGATTCTCAGAAAAAAGTATCCAGAAATGGCAGCATCCAAGTTTTTCTTATGACATTTTTCCTTAAAGCAGATCATACACACATTTACATCTAACAAAATCTGTAAAACACTAGTCCAGTAGTCTCCCTCTAGAAGGGTGATCCCCTCTAAAAATAGCCAATGTATAGTATATTGCATACAGTGGCATATCTACAATAGCAGTGATCCCTCCAGCAGCTGCAGCCAGTGTGGCAGTCCGGTAGCCTTCCCAGTCCGTGCGTCCAGGCTCATTGACATGTACATGAGGGTCAATAATGCCAGCCATGACCACAAGATCCCCTACATCCAGCAACTGTTGAATGGAAAAACAGAGGTGGTATGAGGTCAGCATAATACGTATAATAGCATTAAAGGCACAATAAATAGAACAGCATAAGCCATATAAGTGTATGTAGCACTGTTAGGTAGCCAAACGTATATTACTAGTCCAGTGTAAAATTCCCATAGACATTAGATGACAGACTGTTAAGAATGTACATTCATATGGTTACATTGTTGGATATACAAAGTATCTTAATGGCTGGATGGACCATTATACGGTATGAGCTTTTGTGAGAATGGGGCAAAACAAATGTTCTTCTGGTAGAACGTTCTTCACTAGGTATATCCATAAAGAACAGAGTGAATGGGAGAAGTACCATGTTATGGCCACTAGATGGAGCTGAGGATCACAGGAAGTAAGTACAGGCTAGTGATGAGATACACTGTTACAATTTAAGAGACCGCTGAATGGAATGAGCATATAAATGTAACCATTGATAATACGGGGACACAATAGTTACATTCATATGCTCATTCTATCCAGCGTTCTTATGAATTGTAACAGTGTATCTCCTTACTAACATGTATTTATGTCCTTGGATCCTCAGCTCCATATGTGGCCATATTGCGGTATTTCTCCTATTAACTCTGTTCTTTATGACTATACCTACTGATAAACATTTATACAAAAGAGAAATGACACTAAGAACATTCGTTTTTGCCCCATTCTCACAACAGCTGGTTAACTCGCACAGAATAAGGTATATGCAGGTTAACTGGATGAATATTCACATTGTTTTATAAATAGACCCCTTATAAACTGAAAGAAAACATGTACAGCTTTCCATGCAGGTCTGTCTGGAGAATCACACAATTCAGAAACCAAACAGCCTTGATTCAAAAATTGTATAATCCTCACTGAGACAAGGTGTAATGAATATATGTAGAAGAGTTAAAATGGAAAGGAGCTTTTCCAAACAGGGAAGGAGCTTCTCCAAACAGGGAAGGAGCTTCTCCAAACAGGGATGGAGCTTCTCCAAACAGGGAAGGAGCTTCTCCAAACAGGGAAGGAGCTTCTCCAAACAGGGAAGGAGCTTCTCCAAACAGGGAAGGCGATTCTACAAACAGGGAAGGAGCATA